AGTTTAGGGGGGACCCGGAGCCTCATTCTTCTCCTCCTCCTCCTCCTCCTCCTGATGCCAAACTGACAGCACCACGCTGAGACCTACTGGTCACAATGCTGCTGAAAGGTTCATGCTTGCACGCGTCAGTATGTGACCCTCACCTCAGGCAGGGCATCCGAAAGGATCCGAGCCTTCGCTCGAGAGAAAGGCTTCCACACTAGGAGTTCCTCGTTCCACTTGCAATGGATGTCGCTTGCAGTTGGCAGCAGCACAAGGTATTGGGCAAGATTTGCCGGGCAGTCAAGGGAAAATATACGACTGTATACGACGGCCTCTCTGGGGCGATTCTGGACAGTGGAATTGATCAACGCCGTAATTGAATCGAAGGGAGGCCCCTTCCCTTAGATCCGACAGGCCCAGATGACGGGCGGCGACGAGGCGGCGACGTGGCGGCGACGGCGATAACATAGCCGCCAGACCAACCATCAGGCCCAGACGACGAGGCAGCGACGGGGCAGCGACGGCGGCGACATAGCTGCCAGACCGACCGTCAGGGCCAGCTCCGTAAGAGCACCTAAGTGTAAGAACTGTGGGGAATAGGCACGAACATGTTCAATTACCCACTGGACCAGCGTGCTCAACCCCGAAGTTCCTGACGTGGTTGCAGCCGAAGGCACAGAATGAGGCTCAGCCCCTCGGCCCATGGGTGCGATGCTGGAGGTCCGGCAGAGCCCGAGGCCCCAGCGCAAGCCTGGCAATCTTGCGCCGCTCGACTCGACAGGGTCAGCAGGTGCGCAGACGAAGAAGGCAGGTGTGCCCAGGTGAAACTCGGTACCGTCATCGTGCTACGTCAGGTGAAACTCGGGACTCCTTTGGCCACTGCGAGCCTCGGCTTCGAATAGGGCCCCCGATCTAGACCTGAGGGACGGCCTGAAGACAAGAGCCCATGCGGAGCCCAAAGTGGTCTTGATCACAGCGTCTTGGCTGCAAGCCCAGGCCATGAGCCCTCCAGCGTCGCGTCTTTTGTTCGTGGCGTGAGCCGTGCAGCTCTCGGCCCCGCACCCGGGCCTGGCAGCCAATCATTGGCTTCTTGCCTCGGGCCCTGGCCGCCGAGGTTCAGGTTCCCAAACACCCCCCCCCCGAAAAAAAAAACGCACGCCCGTGACGTGACAAAGAGGCCACTGCGCCAGGTGGTGCGAGTGAACCTCGGAAAAAACTGACGCGAGGGCACGAGGGGCTCCGCGCAGCCGGGGACGACGGCGACGACGATAACGACGACGACGACGGCGACGGCGACGGCGACGGCGACGGCGACGGCGACGGCGACGGCGACGGCGACGGCGACGGCGACGGCGACGGCGACGGCGACGGCGACGGCGACGGCGACGACGGCGACGGCGACGGCGACGGCGACGGCGACGGCGGTGCGTGCCGCCTGGTGCGAGCCGACCGCTTTGATCCGCTGCCCTGGGCGCGTCACGCCGCAGGTGACCGCGAAGGAGATCAGGTGGCGCCCGCCTCCCGGCGGCCGTCTTCTCGCCAGGCCCAGAGAAGCCCAGATGACGGTGGATCGGAAGCTGGAGAGGCATCTTCGCGTGGCTCGTTTCAGAAACCCTGTATTCAAACAGATGCGCATCTCTTAGAAGGCCAGTCCTTACTTCCACCGACCTTCCGCCGCCTTCCGCCGAGTGCGGGTTGTCAAACCCATCGATCCTTCGACAGCGAGGACCTTTCTGGAAGGCGCCAGGTGGCAGTGGATCGAGAGCTGGAGAAGGATCTTCTTGTGTTGACGCGGGAGCTGCACGTCATGGCAGAGGTAACGATCAAAGGCAGTGGCTTCTGTTCGCCGTGGGATACGCTTGTCCTCTGGACTTGCAGATCACGCAGGATGGAGGAGTCCCCACAAGGCACGCAGTCACACGCTTCCTGGAGAGGTTCCACGAGGCTCTGGTCTCTCGGGGGAGGGATGGTGGAGGATACGACAAGATGAGACTCGACTATGTCAGACCTACTTCAAGATACCTGGCGCGGGACAGCATTGTGGTGCTCCCGCGCGCTCCTTCAGGAGCAACGGGGCGTGGCATGAAAGGCCCCACTGTCAAACGGACTGCGTATGATGCTTGGGCAGCTCTTTCGTCAGGGATGGGAGAGAAGGGGCAGATGGGGGAGAAGAGAGGTACGAGGACGATAACCACAAAGCAAACAAAAGCTTCACAAACGTAGGCTCTCGTAGGTCTGCGCGGATTTCTTGAGCCGACGCTGGACCCACCCCCTGCTGGTGCCTTCAGCACCGCCCTGGCGCGCGAAGGGGAGGGGGGGGACAGCGCCGTTCAAAGAACTCCGCGCAGATCTCCGAAAATTCACATTCGAGATTGTTCACATTCGCATCCTGGGCCCAAGATCGGCATGGCTAGGGCCCGTGCAGGGTTGTAGCCGGCGTCCCCCGAGGAGAAGGGGAGACCCGACGTCTTCGTAAAGGAAAAGAAAGGAAAGGAAAGGAAAGGGAAAGGAAAGGAAAGGAAAGGAAAGGAAAGGAAAGGAAAGGAAAGGAAAGGAAAGGTAGAGAAAGGGAGAAGGGAGACCTCCTTGCCAAGTTTTGCCATCGACCCGAGGGTCTAAGAGGGAAGATCTTCGGACGTTTCTGGCCCTTGTCGTACCTCGGGGGACCCCCAGAGACCTCCGGTGACCTCTGAGGACCTCTGGCGACCTCTGGGGACTTCCGGGGGTCAGGACCTTGGGCGGCAGCAGAACTTCCAAATCCTCTTCACCCTTCTCCCCGCCGCCCTCCTCCTGGAGTCATGCCCCCCCCCCCATCCCCAACCCTCCTCCTCCTCCTCCTCATCCTCCGCCTCCTTGCGTCTCTCCCCGTCCTCCGCCTCCTCCTCCTCCCCTCATCCCCAGAACGTTCCTCCCACATCCGCAGGGGGGGGAGGAGAAAGATGGGGAAGAGGAGAGGCGGAGGAGGGAGGAGAAGGGTGACTCGGCACAGCTTGGAAGTGTTCAAAGCTTTCACAGGTTTTCAAGTTGACTCGCGAGCTTCGGGCCTCGTCATTCCCCAAACAGTGCTTGCACTATGCAGGGGTCCTTGCTTCGGTTATCTGAAAAGTGGATGGGTGTGTCGGGGATTCAGCTGGCTCCCGGTTGGTGCCGCCTCGTTGCCGTTTCGTTGCCGCCTCATTGCCGCCTCGTTGCCGCCTCATGCGATGGGTGGGTGCATCGGGGCTTCAGCTGGTTCCCGGTTGGTGCCGCCTCGTTGCCGCTTCGTTGCCGCCTCGTTGCCCGGTTGGTGCCGTCTCGTTGCCGTTTGATTGTCGCCTCGTGGACTGGGTGGATGTGCGTGTGTGTGTGTGTGTCGGGGTTTCGGTTTGCGCCTAGTTGTTCTCGTTGCCGCCTCGTTGCCGCCTCGTGGACTGGGTGGGTGCGTCGGGGTTCCGGCTGGTGCCCGGCTGGTGCCGCCTCGTTGCCGCCTCGTTGCCGCCTCGTGCGCTGTGTGGGTGTGTTGGGGTTTCGGCTGGTTGCCGCCTCGTGCTCTGAGAATACACGACATTGTTTTCAGCGTAGCTTACACCATCTAGCTTCCACCACATAGCTTACACCGCATATCACATTGCTTACACCCCACCTCCAGTTCACACGGCCTAGCTTATATGACATAGCTTACACCGCACAGCTTACACCGCACAACTTTCACCCCCATTATTCACACCACATAGCTTTCACAACATAGCTTCTCACTAACAAGCTTAGACCGCATAGCTTTCGACTCCACGGTGTAATGACGCACTGTTCTGGGCCCACGCTGGCTAACAACGCATTCGCTGTGCGACTTGGTGGCTTGGTAACGGGTTCCCGCCATCAGATCGGAGGAGCAAATAAGGGAAATCGGTTCAAGCACACAATGGCCAGGCGTCACCCTTTTCTTCCCCCATCATCCATCCATCGCCCTGCCTTCCCAGCCAACCTCATTCTACGTCCCCCTACCCACCCGTCCAGCAACTCACCAATCACCCACATCCCAGCCTATCCTGTCGAGCTGACCACAGCATCTGCGTCTTCACGGGCACCATCTCCTCTGGATGCGCTCCTGGGCATGAGCTCCGCGGGGAAGTGAGCACAGGCAGAGGGAGGGAAAAGCAGGAGGGAGGATGGGAGTAAAGAGCAAGAGACATGGACACGAGGCAACGAGATGGAGAGGATGCGAAAATAGAAATATGTAGGACAAAGACAAGGGGAGAGCGATGCAACGATGGGGCATGAAGCGAGGTGGAACCGGAGAAGAGAGAGAAAGAGAGAGAGGGCAAAAAAAGGAAGAGAGAGGGAGAGAGAAAGAGAAGAGACATAGAGAGATAGAAAAACAAAAAAAAAAAAAAAAAAAGAGAGGGAGAGGGAGAGGGGATTACCCAAATAGAGATGAATATATAAGGAAGCCAATAAAAGTGATATGGAGAGTGATATAGAAAGAGACAGCGGAAGGGAGGAAGGGGGAGGGAGAGATAGAGTCATAGAGAAAGTTCGTGTGAGAGAGAGGATGTGTAGAAAGGGCGGTCGGAGGAGGGAGAGGCAAAAGGAGAGCAAGAGCGAGGGTGGGACGACGACGACGACGACGACGACGACGACGACGACGACGACGACTCGGCTGCACGCAAGAGTGACCTAGAAAGACTGACCTCTGGTGCGAGGCTGCAGGGTGCCGCGGGGGAGGCCAACTTCAAGAAACCCGAGCACGCCAGCCAGCGCTGATGGGAACTCTGCGTGCCCCCCCACCCGAACGTCACTCCGGCGAAAGGCCACTATTACGCGTAGCCGAACGACGACCACCGTCGCGCCGGCCGAGAGGCCACAGTGATAGAAGCAGTACCCGAGCTGCTCCTTTGTGCTAACGTTACCCTCCGCTGGCCGCCTCTTTGGGGCAACCAGAAAAGACCTGTGGCCCAAAGGAAAAACGCAAAGGAGATGGCTGATACCAACAGAGATGGCGGATACCCAAAGAGATCGCAACGCCCCTGTGAACCAGAAGTGGCTGATACCCAAAGGAGAAACAGCCAACACAAGCCAAAAACTCAATCAGAAGCGGACGAAAGCCCCAAGCGAACATGGGCAGCGTGCACGAGCGGTCTGGTGTCCTCCTCATCACGCGTACTGCCTCTGACAACTTGCAAGGCCCCACGCTCTCGTGTTCCCCCTCCTCCTCATTGTGAGTGGAGGGAGACGTATCTAAATCTCTCAATTCGGTGGCAGCTTGCGTCGAAACCCCTTCGAGCCTCGGGTGCTTCCCCTGAAGAACTCTGCACTTTCACCTCTGAGCATTGCTGCGGGTCGGGTGCCCACACTGCTGCACTGCTGGCCCAAAAGGGCCGAGGGTCCCAGGGTGGCAACTGCTCTGCAACCTACACATATGAACAGCGCCGGATCTTCCGTGCACTGGAACGACATCAACCTGTGCCCCCTGGCGCTGACTCCTTCTAAAGACGCAGGCACTTTCCCTGTGCGTCCGTGGGCGGAGAGCATCGGGGAGCAGCCGCGCTTGAAACGGGTCTGGAACTTGGTGCGGAGACAGGTGGAGCAGCGCCAGCAGGACTTGTTCCGAATCCATGGGCGCCGCGATGGCCCAGTCTCCCGAGCTGGCCTCGGGGCGGCCCCTGGACGTTCCAAGTCGCACCCCGAGAGGTCCAAGGAGGGCCACGGGGGGGCGTCGCGGTGCAAGAGTGCACACAGCTTTGGATAATCGACCTGCCCGGATACCATACTCAACTCTGCCTCCGCGGGGGCAGCGTGGGATTGGAGACCTAGCTTGGCTGCCGCATCTGCGGCATCACTCGTGGCTCGTTTCCCCATCGCTGCTCTGTTAGCTACGGGTAATCTGAAACATGGGCATTAATCTTACTACGCGAATGAAGATGCGTCACAGCGGCAGCAAGCAGCATGGGCCCCGACACACATTTTCTTGCACGAGAGCCGTTTAGACAGGCAGGCGCCGAAGAACAATCCGAAAAAACCCGGATCGGCCACACGGCGCCCCAGGCCGCCATGTCCATCGCCCCGAATTCACCAGCCTGGTGATTTAGAGGCATTGGGCCCCAAACAGGGCCTTGGACTGAAACCTGCACCTGAGCATCTGGATCTTGAGTTACATAACCCCGCGACGCGCGACTGAACTCGCGAATTACACGCCTAGAGCACGAGCCGTCCATGAACACGTCACCCTGGACCTGTCCAACAAGGCGCCCTGGATGCCCCGCCCCACGGATAGCGACCCCCCCCCACCATTACGGGGGCGCGGAACGACGTTTCCAGGATGGACGAAAAAATCCTCAGTGAAGAGGGCGGTTTCCTTAGCATCATTCCTGTCGGCATTAAAGACGGTTTCGAGGATCTCGGCCTTCACGTCATCCGATCGGACCTCCGATACTGCGGCACACCCCCACAGACGACACCAGACACTATCAAGGTAGAGGTGGCCGACAACGCCAAGACCGCTGGGCAAGGGGTAGCCTCGCCGGGTCGCTCGATCCCTGCACCGACGGGCTCCGCAGAGACTCGGCGCAGCCTTTCGTAGCGCGCGAACTTGGAGGAACGAATCCGAGACGACGCGACATCGTAGCAGGCACGCCCTAGGAAATTCAAGCTCTCGGCTGCACCCCCCCCAAACTGGCGAACCACTCCTTCGTGAAGTAATTTCTTGACAAGGCAAGGGGAGACAGCAGCGATGTGACCTTATTCCTGGCAGTCGTTGACCAAAACCGCGAAGCTGGACATGTCCCAACCGAGCCTGAGCAAAGAATGCCCCAACGCAGACAAGAATCCCGTGACATTTTCTAGAAAAACGAGCTCCTCGGCACACGGGAAGCGGATCCCCAAGCCTCCCTTAACACCTTGAAAAATAAATTCTTGTCTGTTGATCCCACCTGCGCTGCGATGGTCTCCTTCAAATATCAGACGACCAGTGAGACAGCGCCGAACCAAAGCGGGTCGGACTCCGAGATGACAGAGGAAGCAGGCAAGCGCACGCCAGCACTCGGGCGGAGAATAGAGCCCATGCTGCGACGTACGCCTGCCAACTCATCATCGGAAACACCATCGACTTCAGATCCGCGCAACAGGCCCGCGCCAATGGATCCCCCCCAGGGCCACGCTACAACTCTTGAAACGCATTACCCCCTTCTAAGAACATCTGCTTCTTCTTTTGGAATACCGTCCCGTGGCCGCCACGACGACGACTGGCACCTGCTGCATCTTCGACCCCCAGATTGCTGGCGGACACTTCGAGCTGTGCACCACCAAAGTCACCTAAAGGGACACGAATATCCTCGCCTACCTTGGCCGAAGAGCAAATGACTGGAGACTTACCATGCGCAGCGACACTATTCATGTCTTCCGTGAGACCAAAATAAAGAGCGGCAGAACTCACGACAATGTGCTGCTCATCATTGTTGGGGGAGCCTGCGGAGGAGAGTCCGTAGTCATCCATGCAAATGTCGAGAGATGCGGGGATGTAGGGGCATTTCTGTAGTCAGGATGATGCCACATCGAAAATGCGACGTGGCCATCGAACACCCAGCAATAACCCCGAACCTCGCGAAAAACGAACCATGGACCATACCTCCCATCATCGTGAACCTAGGGCCTCTGTGGGCCTCTAGACTCAGACGATAAATCTGGGCAGGAAAACCAATGGAATCGCACCTATGGTCGAGCTCTTCCAAGGACAGCGTTTCCTAAAACTGTTCGAAGTCCCACCGGACCCGAGAGGCGATGGTGCCGCGATGCTTCCTGGCAGTCGGAGAACACGGTTGTTCCCGAACAGCTTCTTCACGGCGAACGGACTGGCGCCCTCTAAAATCTGCTGCTTCAGCAAATGTGCCCGCTGCTAAATGCGGTCCAACATGACATTGTTCCCACAGCTCCGCGAGCCATCGCCTCACCCTCCCCCAAAGCTGGCACGTCGAGCTGAAAAGACCGATGGGGCGCCAGCCCCCTCGCGGACGTCCCGGCCCGATCGGGAGCCATCTCCGCGATCGACGCCATGGCCATGAAAGCGAGCAGACAGGAATCAGAGATCGGCAGCATGACGCGCGCGAAATCCGTCGATGGGCGCGGCTAACCACTTGTCGCACGCGCTGGAGACTTCTCGAGTACGTCCGGGGGGGCAGGGGGGTAAACTCCGGAGGCCGCAGACGCCCCCGGGCCTCGTCGGGCCCCGCGGGGCCCCCAGCCCCCCGAAGCTCCCGAAACGACGACCTTCACTGGCAAGGAGAGACCCGGGGTCGGCCAACAGCACGCCACTAGCAGAAAGCGCAACTGCAGAGACGCATGCCGAAGGCAAGCGAGTCAACACACGGGCGCCGCCAGCCCCGCCCTGGGCGCCGTCGAGACGCCAGGCCTTCCAAGACTTGCAGGGACCAGCAGGTGCTTCACTCGAACAGTTCCCTGGAGCCTCCGAAATATCGCCCGAGACCGAGCGGCCGAGCTCGAGGTCCAGGGGCTCCGAGAAGTGATCCCCGGTTCAAGTCTCCCCCTTTGGGAACACGCAACAGACTCGATGGTGAAGACGCCGAAAACCCCCCAGAATGATCCTCAATGCAGGACGGCGGCGAAACGAGATAGGGACGAACACCGCGAGCTTAGAAGAAACTGGCAGACTTTACCAGCTGCGCGATCAGGCAGAACGCGCCCTCTACCCAGCGCAAAGAATAGAGTAGGCCGACTGACATCCATGCGTTCGTCGGACACCAGGGCCGACTTCCACGTCAACTTTGGCAAGCGCCATCTTAGCCCTGTAGAAGGTAGAGACGCCAGGCGGTTGTTCTGCCACTCAACGTCAGCCAGGTTGGCCCACGGACGATACACAAGATTCAGATGCCTCTGGACAACCCTCTCAGGAGCATTTTGCTGGATGAGAAAGATCCCGAAGTTGGCGCATTCCTGAGAGAGACACCGAAGTTGGCGCAGTCCAGCACATCATCCAAATCGGAGCCCTACGGGCCACTGGGGGGGCGGACCGGCAACGGCGGTGGTTCGGCGAGAATGAGAAACTTCAAATCAGCCAAACTGAGGATGTAATGAGTTTGAAATGGCTTGCGCGGCCACACAGGACTCTGGATTGCATCCCTGGTCTCCTGGGCACATTTGCTCAGGCCACTGGATATAACAACGCAATCAACCAGCCTGATCCCATCCCAAGGCCGTGGACGTGCACGTCCCCTTCGCGTCGGGATCAATGATGGCCCTGCCGAGTGAGGTCGCGAAATCGGATGCGCAGAGCGCGTCTGCTTCCAAGTTGAAACCTGCACCTATGACACGGGGGCACTCCATGCCTTGCACAAGGGCGCCCACCTTGACCAACAACTTAAGGCTCTGAGAGGACAGCTCCTTCCCATCGAGAAAATACGTGGACGCGAAGGGCATTGACTCTCCTCACGGGATGTGAACCCAGCACGCCCCAGCCCTGGAGGAAACAGCAATAAACCCATCTTTTAGATCACGGACTCCCAGGTATCCCGAACGAGTATGCCAACTCCTCTAGAAGTACCAGCGCCCGCAGAGGTCAAGACGAACCTTCTCTTCATGCACTGAAGATTGCTCACCACTGAGAGACCTCATCGATCTGGCCCATGGTACCAAAATGTTCTTGAATCAAAACTATGACGTTTTTAGCAGCCACGACTTGGCAGAGCCCCAAGAGGACACACTGGCCGCCTCGACGTCAAATTCAAAGCTCTCAAGCCCAGGGCGAAGCGGGGACCTCAGAAAATCTCCAGAGTGCTCGGTGGCAGGCTCGGGCAACGGCAGTCGGCAAAGCGGCGCAAGAAACTCCGCGTGAAACGTGATATCATGTGAGCTCCCCCCCGACCCGACGGTCCCCGTGCAGGCGGGGACTTGACTAGATGGCAGGCGCGGTTGCGGGGGGGGGATGCTTAGGCGGGGCCTCAGCCTTGGCACCAAGGCGTCGCGAGCACGGGCACGCAAATCTGCTCGCTCATCCCCTGGTGCTGGATGCTGAGAGCCCGATCCACTGCTCCCTCCTCCTGTCAAAAACGATGCTGTGGCAGGCGTGGTAGCACTGTCGGCAGAATTCGGTTTGCCGTCCTTCTGAGTAGCACCTGAACCTGCTACTTCTACTCCAGACTCAGCGGTCTTGCACCCCTTGGACGAAATACGTGCGACTTATTCATGATGAACTGCCCCGAGCTCCTTGATCTTATCCAATGCGCTGTCGAAGGGGTCTTTCGCGAGGGACGCGATGCCTGCCTCCAGCTCGGTTTTGCGGGAGGCGAGTTGCTGTTTGTCCTCGGAAGCGAGGTCGTACTCATCCCCGGCAAGGCCATCGACGAGATCGCTGGCATCGCGGAGAGTAAGCTTAGCAGAACCATACGAGACATCAGAAAGAGAAAGAACAACGTTCTTGTCGGGCTCCTGGCTCCGGGCTTGGCGACTGACGAATGTAACTGGTCGACAAGCTTCTTGTGGTCAGCATCGTTTTCCTCGAGCTCGTCGGACAACTCGTTGACCTGCGTCTCGACCTGTCGGGGGGCGCCGCAACGCTTGCAAAACCAATACCTGCCCAAGTTCTTCTTGCACTTTCATCTGCCACGTTGGCATGTGCCGTGCTGATTGTTGACGTAGCCTCCAGACTGTCCCAACCACCAGTCCTTGGTCGAGTCCGTCCCCGTGTTCCCTTGGCTACCGAAGCCTCGGAAACCGTTGGCAGGCGGGCGAGCAGCCTGCGTGAGATGGCCCGCTTGTGTCGCGCGCCACCTTGAAGCGTACACAAGCAAGCTGAGGCGGCCGCTGCGGCCCTCTCCTCAGCCAGAACGGCTGCGAATTCCTCCTTAAGGAGGAGGAGGAGGCGGAGGAGGAGGAGAATGAGGAGTCAGGTGCGCGCGCCTTGCAGCTCGCATAAGAAGGAGGAGGAGGAGGACGAAAAGGAGGAGGAGGACGATGACGAGGAGGAGGAGGAGGTTGTTGTGTACGACGACGACGACGACGACGACGACGACGACGACGACGACGACGACGACGACGACGACGACGACGACGACGACTACCACGAAGACGACGACGGCGACGACGACGACGACGGCGGCGACGACGACGACGACGAGCAGGAGGGGGACGACGACCACCACCACCACCGCCACCTCCCCCCGTCCCCCGCGCCGAGGCGCACCCCTGGCGGCGGCCGCGGCCTTCGCCGCGCTCCCGCGCCACGCGCCGCCCCAGCGCTGGCGGCCGCGGCCGCCTCTCCAGGAGGGCGGCCGCGCGCGGGCGGGAGGCGACGACGACGACGACGACGACGGCGACGACGACGACGACGACGACGACCACGACGACGCAAACATCCAGAAGAATCGTTCGCCATAACGGGGGGGGATGGCGACCCCTGTCCCCGACTTTGTCAGGTCTGACGACTGGAGAATTTGTGGCCAAACTCGGGGATATAGGACCAGGGGCGCCCATCCTCGATAGGCCTGCGTCGGAATGCCCCTCGGGGCTATGGGAAAAAACTCGGGGGGGTAACCTCGACGCTTCAACGTCCCTCCTCGATTGGGGGAGGGGACTTTCTTGTAAGCGGCGACGAAGGACACGAGGCGTTGATAGCAATAGCAAGGGCATGGCAGAACTAGTCAATTGCGCACCGACACAAATGGAAACAGCAGCTGGCAACACACACTCAACCGGAATCCAGGGGCTGACAGGTCCAACACAAGATCAGGACACAGGATGCAGAGTCAGGATGTCTGGACTGGCAGGTCCAGTGCGCGAATGCAGATTGTAAAACTCTGAATCCAGAACCCCGAGTCTCGAAGATGGAATGGGCACCCGAAGTGCGCCATCCAGGACACCAAAGGCTGTATCCGGAAACCACTGTCCAGAGGAGGAGGGGGGAGAGGAGTGAGGAGGCGGGGGAGCAGCAGGGAAAGAGAGGGCAGGCGGGAGACGGCGGATAGGCCAAAGAGGGCGGCGATGGACAGGACGATGACAACGATGAGGAGGGCGGGGAGAGGGGAGGAGGAGACAGAGGGGCAACCAGGCTGCGAGGAGGAGGAGGAGGAGGACTAGTGGCGAGGGTCGGAAGCATGCAGCAGCGTCGAGACCGCGGTCGCAACTGCGGGCGGGTGGGGGGCCCACGCGCGGGCAGGCGGCGATCGGGCTCCGAGGCAGGCGGTCGGGCGGACCCAAGCAGGCAAGCGAAGGCGGGCTGATCTCAAGCGGGCAAAACCCTGCGGCGGGCAGGCGGGCGGACCGCATCGCCAGAGGAGGACGACGCCAGACACCACGGAGAAAACGACGACGACAAACACAAGAAGCGTCGACGACGACTGAAGCAACAAGCACGGCGAAGACGACGAGAACCACAACCCCACAACGCACAGACCGAGCAGAACGACGGCAACGTCGACGGACATCGCTGCGAGGGCGGCGAGGACTGCGGCAAGCAGACAAATCACATAGGCGACGACGACGTCGACTGCGACGGCGATGGCGACGACGACGACGACGACGACGACGAGGAGGAC